ATTTTAACAACTCTGAGCTATTAGTTAAGTTCTCCCCAAGCGAGCTCGATGGGCCGAATGGCCTCCTCTCGTTTGTATAGTTCTTATGTTCTTATGTTCTTATGTAAGAAAGAACTCATGAGTCTTGAGTTTTTTGATGTGAATAGTAAAAACAAATTTGACAGTCACACAGGCAAAGACACATTCAAATGATAAAATAATCAATTATTATTATTATTGCAGTGAACAGCAAGTCAAGTGGCACAACTGCTATGGGGAGTTTGTTTTTATTCAACTATATAGTACACATGACAAATGACCTTACCTCCCAAAGCATGCTCTGTCATACTCAGGCACAGAGACTCAAGGCGGTTGTTGATGTCTGGTTCTGTCACTGACACCTGGAGATCTACAAATTCAACAGATATCTTAGCCATAAGGTTGTCGGGAAGTGGAGCTATCCAAACTGTTCTTCTTAAACTTTTCTTTAATTACGGAATAGCTTAGAATACATTGAATATGATGAAACATGGTTTAGAATGATTAATGTGTAGCATTTTACCATGCACACTCATCTGATATACAAATTTAATGCCAAGCATTCAACATAAAACAATCACAAGTGCAAAATACTGGTATATGACAGAACCATCTGGTTTGTCAAACAGACAAAACTAAATGTAATACTTGGTGAACAATCTTTGAATCTTTGTAAACATATTTCTTTTATAATAAAGGAGGCATGTAATATAAATTTTTCATTCCATAAGTGTAAACATGTTTCAGCACCAGCTGGATAATATATTTTCATCTAAATCTTATTCTCATTCCCATCACAAGCAGTACATTCAAATATTCAATTCTACACACAAAACACTGCATTGACAACGTACATTTTAAATAATTTGTCCAGTAGTGAAAGCTAATACATGCTATGCCAAAAATGGTGGAAACGCCACAATATCATTTAAAAAGTGCTTTTGGTTGTCAGCACTATTCTTAGGAAGAAAATATCTGTATGGTCCTTTTTAAAGGTCAAATTCTAATGACTTTTGGAAAAAGAATATTTAGCATCATTATATTTGGAACTTACAGTTCATTCAGAAAATATTCAGACCCCTTCACTTTTTTAAAATTGTGTTATGTGTTAAAATAGTTTCCATTCATTTTTACCTACATTCAAAACTCTATTATGGCGATGTAGCAAAAAATAGGTTTTTAAATTGTGTTTTTGCAAATTTAATTTAAAAAAAAAAAAACATCACACAAAAAAATTCAGACAGCCTTGAGTCTTCTAAGGTATGATGTGACAATCTTTGCGCACTTGGATTCTGAAACTTTCTGCCATTCTCTACAGATTCTCTGTGCTATGATTTTGTATGGGTCCTGTTAGTAGACAGCTAATTTCCAGATCTCTCTGGAGATGTTCAGTTGGTTTCAAGTTTGGGGATTCACTAAATTCTCATTAAGCCACTCCTGCATTGTTTTTGCTTTGTGCTTAGGGTCATTGCCCTATTGACCCAGTCTAAGGTCCAGAGTGCTTTGGAGCAGGTTTTCATTAAAGATATCTCTGTACTTTGCTTCATTTAACTTTCCCTCAACTCTGACTTGTCTCCTAGTCCCTGCTGATGAGAAAACTCCCCAAACCATGATGATGTCATCAACATGTTTCACCATCAGGATGGTATTGCCCAGGTGATGAGTGATACCTGATTTCCATCAGACATGAATTGAGGTCAAACATTTTAATTTTGGTTTCATAAGACCAGAGAATCTTTTTTCCCATAGTCAGAGAGTCCTTTTGGTGGCTTTTGCAATCTCCAAGTAAGCTATCATGAGTCTTTTGCTGAGGCTTTTACTGAGTCCAGATTGGTAGAATGATGCCTTTTTCATGATGCACTGAGATAATTGCAAATTTGAAGGATTTGGAGAGGAGAAAAGCTTACTTCTCATGTAAGTGAAGTAGACTAAAACTCAGTAATTAATTATGCTTAATGTACCTAAAGAAACATGCAGAATTTTGTGTAGTGTTCATTACACATTGAGTATACATTAGGGATGCTTTTCTAATATTGTAGTGCAACATCTGTTGCTCTAAAAACAGCCTTACTTTGTGACAAAGTGCTGCATAGGTCTTTGTGTCCGTATTGACAATAAAGTCCCCCACAGTTGGCTGGTAGTATATGAACAGCTCTTATCCCTCATATGTCCCATTGAATTGATACTGTTCAGGCTACTGCCTTAAACTCATAACTGTGGACCTATTCCATGTAAGTCCACCCTTGTCACATAGGCCATTATGCTGCTAAAAAAAATCATTTGCCTATGACAGCACTGGTACCATCAAGAGAGGCACTTCATTGATAATGGCACTCGGATATCAGTGTCCAATGTTTCTGTTCCTTATTCCACTGCAATAATAATTTCTTGTTTTTTTACTGGAAGAATTGGAATTCTGCCAGGACTGCAAATGCCATGCATATCAAGAAAATTGATGACCCTTCAGTGGCCTCTTCAGTGATGACTGTCCTGCCTTTGTATGGATGTATTTTGTATGATGAACCACCCCATATGCGATCTCATTCTAGGATGTATTCATACTCCTACTGTATGCAATCTCATTCTTACATGACACCGATTTTGCTATGTTTGCATCAGCGGAAAACACTCTTTTTCTTCCTAAGCTATATCAACAAATTGCAGAACTACACTACTCTGAGAGACATGAAGAAAACGTAGAAAAGCAGGTGTCACTGAAAGAGCAGATGTTTAGCATTTCCTGCATTTGGAGAGGAGTTGTTTGTTAAAAATCAGGAGTATGGGCTTTCTATTCTATAAGTTGATGTAACAGTTCCATTTCAGTAATGATCAAATTGACCAAAACGATAACTGATAACAGGATTGGTTGCAAAGTTACTGATGCAGATTAACTGAATCACATATTTCTTAAGGCTGTTTCACAGCAAGCTCTTTTTTTATGAAAAAAACAAAAGTCATTATGAAAGTAGCAGAATTTTTCTATGAAAGTTTAAATTGACGTGATCCATTGTTTTTTGTTTTTGCAGAGCTCGATTTCCACAATCCCTGGATGTATTAAAAAACAAAAGCATCAATAGGATGTCAGTTTTTACATATGTGATCAGTTTTTTTGAATAGGAAGAAAATTAAATTTGTTTAACAATGCTAGCATGTCTAATTCTATGAGACGGGGCATTTTAAGCTATTTGCAGCTGTTCTGGTTGCTTGTGTTTATCTTTGTCACGTTCAGCTCCGAACGCTCCTCGTGTGTGCCACGCCCCCTCATTACCTCCAGTCGAAACCTGATGTATCTCACCTGTTGCCTGTTACGTTTGCCTAGTCTCATGTATTTGTCATTGTGATGTAATGTCATGTTTGATGTCCAGCCTCCGTTTCCCTGCCTGTTGGTCGAATAAACCCCGTCTATCCTGGTCCACGGCTAAGCTTGCCTGCTTGACCGCCAGCTCGCTAGCCCGAACGTGACAAAATGACAAATCTCGCTGAAAGCACAAAGCGGCAGACCGAACACCAACGGCTCGGTCTGCTGCACGAGTTTGTGTACTGGCGGTCTCAACCCGAGGTCTGGGAGGACTCTGTAGCCATGGCTCTGGCTGATCGGGGCGCGGACCTGCTCGAAAAGAAGCGCCCACCCGGTCAGGACTACCCTCTCGGGAGGGCAAGGACTACTCTGCAGCGCCTGAGAGAGAGGATCATGGAGCGACGGGACGCAAACGTGGCTCAGAGTATGGGCTACGCGTCGGAACCGGCTCCGTCCTCTACCCCCAGCTCCGGAAGGAGGCGGCAAAAGCAGCGCCGAGCGCAGCATGAGGGAGAGGCAGCGCTCTTTCTAGGAGCCTGCTCCCTATTGCCCGCATGGGAAGACGCAGTTCTGACCGGTGAGCCCCATGGCGAGGAGAAGCTACCTCCTTGGGAGGCTTCTACGTACCGGCCAGAACGCTTACCCAGAAGAGGGATCAGCACCATTAGAGACGCGATTCCCCGGGTCCCTACAGCCCTTAAAGGAGTAGTCCCAGGCGCACCAGATCCGGACCCGCAGACTCCGGACATGCAAACAGCGCCTGCTTCTGCTGCTGCCGCCGCTCTGCCCGCGGCACCGCCTGACTCGCCTGTCCTGCCTGACCCGCCTGTCTTGCCTGACTCACCTGTTCTGCCTGCAGTCCCTGCAGCTGCCACTGCTCTGCCTGCGGCACCGCCCGAGGTGCCCGCGGCTGCGCCCCCTGCTGGCCGCGTGATGGCGGCGCCCGCCGAGGCGCCCCCTGCTGGCCGCGTGATGGCGGCGCCCCCTACTGGCCGCGTGATGGCGGCGCCCGCCGAGGCGCCCCCCTGCCGGCCGTGTGATGGCGGCACCCGCCGAGGCGCCCCCTGCTGGCCGTGTGTCCGAGGCGCCCCCTGCTGGCCGTGTGTCCGAGGCGCCCCCTGCTGGTCGTGTGTCCGAGGCGCCCCCTGCTGGCCGTGTGTCCGAGGTGCCCGCCGAGGCGCCCCCTGCCGGCCGCACGCCCGAAGTGCCTGCCGAGGCACCCCCTGCTGGCCATGTGTTGGCGGCGCCCGTCGAGGCACCCCCTGCTGGCCACACGGCCAAGGTGCCTGCTGCAGCATCCCACAGGGTTCCTGAGCCACAGCCTTGTCTGGAGGATGGCAGCAGGTTTCACCTCCTGCAGGAACGGTACGCTCCTGGAGCAACTCCGCAGGGAGTTTGCCACGGCAGCCCCTGATTCCCCACTCCAACAGCTAGCCCGGGTGGAAGAAACCCTGAGGCAGCTGCTCCGTCTGCGGCCTGCTGCCGCCGCTCCTCCTGCAGCGCCCCCTGATGGCCGCACGTTCGCTCTGCCCGCGGCACCGCCTGAGGTCGCCGCTCTGCTCGTCCAGCCCGGCTCTCCTGTCCAGCCCGTCCAGCCCGGCTCTCATGTCCTGCCCGTCCAGCCCTGCTCTCATGTCCTGCCCGTCCAGCCCTGCTCTCATGTCCTGCCCGTCCAGCCCTGCTCTTCTGAACTGCCCGTCCAGCCTGCGGCTCCGACAACCTCACCTGAGGCCCTGCCTCTAATTCCCCCAGCCCTGATCACTGTCCCCGAGGAGGTCCCAAACTGTTTGACTGCCGCTCCTTCCTCCGGGGAGGAGGAAGGACTTGAATGGGATCCCTCGGGGATTGCCCTATGGACCTCCCTTGAGACTCCCTCGCCCTTGCCCCGGCAAGGCCGACATCCCCCAGGACCCCGCCTATCTGTGTCCCGCAAGGGGAGGGGACATAGACGTCGGGCCGAGGTCTCGCCCGCCCTGCCCCCTGGCTCGCCCTCGCTCGCTTTGGCTGGGGCTCGGGGCCCGCCGGTGGTTCCTCCTGCTCCGGCCCGGCGGTCGCCTGCGGGTCCCCCTCCGTGGCCTCGTCCCCTGGCCTCGGCCCCGCCTCCGACTCCGCGTCGGTCGCCTGCGGGTCCCCCTGCGCCAGCGCGTCGGCGGACAGCGCCTTCGCCCGCTGTGGCAGCGCCTTCGCTGGCTGCTGCTTCCCCCTCCTCCTTCCCTTTGCTGTTGGCCCCTCCGACTCCCTCCTTGTCTCCTCCGTCTGTCCCTCGCCCTGTCTCCTTGTTCCCTTCGTGGTCCCCTCCTGCTCCCTCCTTCCTGTCGCTACGGCTCCGCTTGCCTGCTTGACCACCAGCTCGCTAGCCCGAACGTGACAATCTTGTTTATCTTTGGAATTTTTAAAAGATTTTATTATATGCCTCCTGGATTACATTAAACTATGGCTATTATTTTTATTTTTGATTGATGTCTAGGCTCCACTTACTGTAGCATAATACAAATTCTGTAATACAGGTATATGTCTGCTGAAATTAAGTTCACACTACTGTAGAATGGAGAAAAAAAAATAGGATGCAGGGAATATGAAAATAAGTCGCCAACTTATGGGCAGCCAATTGTATTCCATGCATGGTGTTGCTTAGTACAAATGTTAATTAATCAGGTCTCTTTTTGCCTATCCCATCTTGGTCCCAGGCACAGACATAGGTGAGACAAAAGATATACTGGTGAGAGAATGTGCCCCAACTGGGGTTAAGGGCCTTGCTCAGGGGTCCAACAGCAGGATCAGTCTCCTGGCCATGGCATTCCTCTATGAGATTCCATTATGAAATTCCTCTACAAGATTCCACTATGAGACTCCTTTTTAATACTCATCTCTAACATTTTTTCAGATTCTGTCTGGTGTGCCTGAAGCTGCTGGCCCCAGGATGTATATTTTTAAAATAGTTAATAAGTGTTAACCATTTTCTTTGAATATAAAAAGGTTTTAAAACGCAATTAATCTTTATCATGAAAATAGTATGAGGCTTACCACTCTGCTGAAATGTAAGCAGTGTGTGTGGCGTGTGGACAGGCAGGGAGCGGGTTCTCTGCACGGAACTGTGTGTCCGGCTGGGCATGCTGTTGCTTCCTCCAGGGTTGGCAAACCATAGACCCTATAAAAGAGGTACAAAGACTGTAACACTTTACCTTTGAAGAAAAAAATAATATTTTAGTACTTGCACTTACTTAACCTTACTGGTGAGTATGTTTAGTTAGTATTAAAAGGCATTATGTAGTTGAACAAGAACAACACATAATTATTTCATTGTACATGAACAAAAAAAATAAAGCAACTAGGGTCAAATTTAGGGTCCAAAAATGATCAGATCAAAGATGTGCAACTGGAACTAATGAGTACAGAAGCTAGGCAGTATAAACCAAAACAGGATTGTTTACAAAAAATGAATATAAGTCCACATAAATAAATGAGCTTCTCTATGTAGGACATAAATGAGTTTATCATCTCGATGTATTATTATGAATTACATTAATCTTCAAATCTATATTATAATTTGAGGTACATTCAGCCTATGATTTATTATGCTTGGTAACTTGCATTCTTCACTACTAATTTGTTACCCCATTTCTGACCTGTCTTAAAGTCAACTACTGACTTTCCCTTACATAGACAATGAAGTGACTTGATATGAGAAGCCTGCACAGCATTTTATTACAGCTTTGCTCTACATTACACATGGAACAGAAACACACCAACAAAAGCCAGAACATCATCGTAGCAGTAAAGTACACCTGCAAGTTGCCTATAGTTTCCTTTGTTGTGACAGTTTTAATTGTCATCATGTTCCCAATTGAGTTCTGTTGACCTAAAAATCAAATCACATCAATCAACCTTTTCAGAATCTTATGTTTTTTTTCTCACAGTTTTGCTGTATGACTAACTGGTGATGTATGATTTTGTCAAGCAATCTATCGATTCCTCAGTAGGTCTGCCACTTTCAATCTGAATAAGTAAGGAAGGTCACCCCTTCTGAGTCCACAGCAATAAAATTTGCAGGGGGATCAACTACACAATTTGAAAATAAGGGACAAAATGCGTCCTGTATTCCATCAAAATTGGAGACAGCATTTTATTTTTACAATTCAGGACAATCTTGTAATATTCAGAATAGGTGGCAACACTTATCCTCACATTTCCAAAAAGACTTGCGCAACTGGACTGACATGTTCCTTTTGTACAATTAAAAAAAACTAAACAAAAAACAATTTGCTTATTTATAGTGTACATAGGATTAACTACAACCAACAAGAACAGTATTTACAATCTATTTATAATTTTTATTTAACTTAACGCCTTGATGCCTTGTTCACAGACCAATAAGGCATGTAACGATGAATCGCGAATTGGTTAAAAATCGATGTAAATGTATGATGATTTAAACCGGCTGATGTGGAAAATAAATCGTTACTTTAGGAGCACTTCTCGTAACTTTACTTAACAGAAAAACTGGTGTAACATTACAATTGATTTCACAAAGGCAGTTCGACATCAGATTCAGAAGATTCATGTCGACGTCGTATGTCGACACCCCCCGATCTTAAATCGGTGGTGTGGCAGCATTTTAGCTTTCCGTTAATCATAAACGAAAACGGTGAGAAAAGCACAGACAAGACATAAACTGAGTGCAAACATTACATGATTATACAATTATAATGTATGTTATTATTATATAATGTTTGTTATTAATGTATATTACAGCTGTTAAGGGATGTTAGGATGTAAAGGTATACATGCATGATGTTTATGAATGATTTCTAAATACATAATACATTATGAAGGAGCACTGAACGTTTTATGAATGCAATATAAAGGCATTATGAAGGTGCAGTTATTGTAAAGCGTTACCGTTTATTTATTTGAAGATATTTTTTTTTTTTATTTGGGATTTTTTTTTAAAAAACAGTATTTTATTCAATTTCAGTTGCACTGTTAAGTAGAGGACACGTATTGCACAGTTTATAAAGATAAAGGAATATTTTTTTATAAATTTGTCTGCAGCTCATTCTGTTAAAAAATCGTGAGAAATTGTATCATGAACTCAGAATCGTGAATCGTATTGAATCGTGAGTTGAGTGTATCATTACATCCCTACAGACCAACAAGGAATATTTCCATTTTCTCATAATGAAACACTATGAGCTGCATTCCATGTTTGAAATGTGCTATAAAAAGATGATGATGATTATTATTGTTGTTGTTAGTATTATTATATAGGCCAACACATGAGTTTATCTTGCCTGATTGCTGAACTCATGTTTATTTTATTTTATTTCAGCAAGTCTTAACTGCTGGTGTGGTACCTTCTAATTGGAAGCATGCTAATACACTGCCCGGCCAAAAGAAAAGTCTCCATTTGAATGTCTCATTGGATTTCCTTTAGCTTTGATTATGACGCACATTTGTCATGGTATTGTTTCCACAGGCTTAAGCAACATCTCACCTTTTATTTTAATCCATATTTGCATTAATTTCTCACCAAGATCCTGTATTGACAAGTGAGTTGAACCACTCCGTAAAGCCTCCTTTAGCACATCCCAAAGACCTTCAATGAGGTTAAGGTCACAACTCTGTGGTGACCAAATCATGCGTGAAAATGATTCCTCATGCTTCCTGAACCACTCTTTGACAATTCGAACCCAATGAATCTTGGCATTCTTGTCCTGGAATATGCCCATGCCAACAGGGAAGAAAAAAATCCATTGATGATGGATGATGGATGGATAACATTCCGACGGATAGCCAAGTATATAGCAGAGGTAGATCCTGTTTAACTAATCTACTTGAGTTCTTTAAGGAAGCTACAAGAGAAATTGATCCCAAAAAAGCTTACGATGTGATGTGATGTTGTCCCCCACAAACAGCTCCTGCTTAAACTCAAAGCAGCAGGGATTTTAGGAACTGTAGCAGCTTAGAGTGAAAACTGGTTAACAGACAGGAAGCAGCAGGTAGTTATTAGAGGCACAATGCCATAGTGAACCGCAGGGTTCAGTTTTAGGACCACTGTTATTCCTAATTTATATTAACGATATTCCATCCATCCATCCATCCATCATCTTCCGCTGGATCCGAGGTCGGGTCGCGGGGGCAGCAGTCTCAGCAGGGAAACCCAGACTTCCCTCTCCCCGGCCACTTCATCCAGCTCCTCTGGGGGAATGCCGAGGCGTTCCCAGGCCAGCCGAGAGACATAGTCCCTCCAGCGTGTCCTGGGTCTTCCCCGGGGTCTCCTCCCAGTGGGACATGCCCGGAACACCTCACCAGGGAGGCGTCCAGGAGGCATCCTGACCAGATGCCTGAGCCACCTCATCTGGCTCCTCTTAATGCGGAGGAGCAGCGGCTCTACTCCGAGTCTGTCCCGAATAAACTCCTCCACTTGGGGAAGGACCACCTCCCTGACCCGGAGAGAGCACCCTTTTCTGGCTGAGGACCATGGTCTCGGATTTGGAGGTGCTGATCTTCATTCCAGCCGCTTCACACTCGGCTGCGAACTGCTCCAGTGAGAGCCGAAGGTCACGGTCTGATGAGGCCAACAGAACCACATCATCTGCAAAAAGCAGAGACCGAATCCTGAGATCACCAAACCGGACACCCTCAACGCCCTGGCTGTGCCTAGAAATTCTGTCCATAAAAGTTATGAACAGAATCGGTGACAAAGGACAGCCCTGGCGGAGACCAACAATCACCGGAAACGAGTCCGACTTACTGCCGACAATGCGGACCAAGCTCTGGCACCGGTTGTACAGGGACCGAACAGCCCTTATAAGACAGCCCGATACCCCATACTCCTGGAGCACTCCCCACAGGACTCCCCGAGGGACGCGGTCGAATGCCTTCTCCAAGTCCACAAAACACATGTAGACTGGTTGGGCAAACTCCCACGCACCCTCCAGGACCCTGCCGAGAGTATAGAGCTGGTCCACTGTTCCACGGCCAGGGCGAAAACCACACTGCTCCTCCTGAATCCGAGGTTCGACTATCCAGCGGACCCTCCTCTCCAGCACCCCCGAATAGACCTTACCAGGGAGGCTGAGAAGTGTGATCCCCCTATAGTTGGAACACACTCTCCGGTCCCCCTTCTTGAAGAGGGGGACCACCACCCCGGTCTGCCAATCCAGAGGCACCGCCCCCGATGTCCACGCGATGCCACAGATGCGTGTCAACCAAGACAGCCCTGCAACATCCAGAGCCTTGAGGAACTCCGGGCGGATCTCACCCACCAACGGGGCCCAGCCACCGAGGAGCTTTTTAACCACCTCAGCGACCTCTGCCCCAGAGATAGGTGAGACCACCCCCAAGTCCCCAGACTCTGCTTCCTCATTGGAAGGCGTGTCGGTGGGATTGAGGAGGTCTTCGAAGTATTCCTTCCACTGACCCACAACATCCCGAGCTGAGGTCAGCAGCGCACCATCCCCACCATAAACAGTGTTGATGCTGCACTTCTTTCCCGCCCTGAGACACTGGATGGTGGACCAGAATCTCCTCGAAGCCGTCCGGAAGTCGTTGTCCATGGCCTCGCCAAACTCCTCCCATACCCGAGTTTTTGCCTCAGCGACCGCCGAAGCCGCGTTCCGCTTGGCCCGCCGGTACTCATCAGCTGCCTCCGGAGTCCCACAGGCTAAAAAAGCCTGATAGGACTCCTTCTTCAGCTTGACAGCATTCCTCACCGCCGGTGTCCACCAGCGGGTTCCCTCACTATATGCTTGGGTCTGCCAGGTCTGACCGGCTTCCTCCCCCACCATCGGAGCCAACCCACCACCAGGTGGTGATCGGTTGACAGCTCCGCCCCTCTCCTCACCCGAGTGTCCAATACATGCGGCCGCAAGTCTGACAACACGACCACAAAGTCGATCATCGAACTGCGGCCTAGGGTGTCCTGGTGCCAAGTGCACATATGAACACCCTTATGCTTGAACATGGTGTTCATTATGGACAATCCATGACGAGCACAGAAGTCCAATAACAAAACACCACTTGGGTTCAGATCGGGGGGGCCGTTCCTCCCAATCACGCCCCTCCAGGTTTCACTGTCATTGCCCATGTGAGCATTGAAGTCCCCCAGCAGAACAACAGAGTCCCCGGGAGGAGCGCTCTCCAACACCCCTTCCAAGGACTCCAAAAAGGGTGGGTATTCTGAACTGCTGTTTGGTGCATAAGCGCAAACAACAGTCAGAACCTGTCCCCCCACCCGAAGGCAAAGGGAGGCTACCCTCTCGTCCACCGCATTAACGATATTGACACCAATATATACAGCAAACTGGTTAAATTTGCAGATGACACTAAGGTGGGTGGTGTAGCAGATACTGAACTAGCAGCACAGAGACTACAGCGGGATCTTGACTTAATTAGTGACTGGGCTGATACCTGGCCGATGAAATTTAATGTAGACAATGCAGGAAGCAGAAACATATAGTAGACATATTTTTTGGGATCCACTGAAATAAAGGTAGCTGATTATGAGAAAGACCTTAGTGTGTATGATGATGCTTCCATGTCCCACTCTCACCAGTGTGAGGAAGCATTTAAAAAGGCCAATAGGATGTTGGGTTACAACTCTAGGTATGTGCAGTTTAAGTCAAGGGAGGTGATGCTAAGATTATACAATTCCTTGGTAAGACCCTAACTAGAATATTATGTGCAGGTTTGGTCACCTTACCTTAAAAAGGACATTGCTACCTTAGAAATTGTTCAACGTAGGGCTACAAGAATGATTCCTGGTCTTAGAGGAATGTCTTATGAGGAGAGGTTAGCTGAGCTGAATTTTTTCAGCCTCGAGCAAAGGAGACTAAGGGGGGGCATCCAGGTATATAAGATTTTAAAAGGTCTGGATGCTGTTTAACCAAATAGTTATTTCAATATTAGTTGAAATACAAGAACTCATAGTTGGATATTTGCGGGAGAACTAAACTGGATTTGAGAAAGCACTTCTTTACACAGCGTGTGAGTATGGAATAGTATTCCTGTTAGTGTACTGCAAACTAAAACCTTGGGTTCCTTTAAATCAGACCTAGAAAAGATTTTAACAACTCTGAGCTATTAATTGAGTTCCCCCCAAACAAGCTTGATGGGCTGAATGGCCTCCTCTTGTTTGTAAATTTCTTATGTTCTTATGTTCTGAGTGGTTAATGGATGTTAGTCATCTTTGGGTTCAGAGTGCAGGAGAGTACAGATAATTGGAAAGGCTAGGAGAGGCACTGCTTCACTGGTTGGTAGGTAAAAGCACATCATATTCCATAATGATTAATTCAAACACTAAAAATAAGTGGGGTGGTGTTTTGCACAATATTTTGTCAGGCATTCTTTGAACCCCCACACTTTTTTGGTGTGGTTTCAAATGGTTTTTTGTGATGATACACTGGACATTAAAAAGATATTTCACATGATACATTTTTTTTCTTTTTTATGAGACACTGCTTTACCCATTGTCTTAAGGATACCTCCATTGGTCATATTTTCAGAAACAGCTAACTAGAGATGCAAGTGTCATTGAAACTAAATCTAGATCCTTAGCTGTTCCACTGAGCAGGGCTACAGGAGCTGGTACGATATTCTTAAAGCCACCTATATATTCATTAGAACAGAAGTGTGATCCTACATTTGATCATGTGGAGAGACACACCTGCCTGCCTTGTTTCAGGCTGTTCGGGGTGCTGCTGGCAGCACGTGGAGTTGGTCCCAAAATGCCCGAGGTACCCAGTAGCCCCAACCTTGCTCCAGGGAGACTTCGTGATGGCAAGTGGAACTGGCGCAAGCTTCTCCGTGCTGACAGGCCTCCCCCAACACAACTGGCAGTTGGGAGGGAGCTAGATTGGCCAAAAGCACGACTAGCAAATGAAAAAAGACAATGCTGATAGACATCATCAAGACACTGTCATGGCAACCACAACCTGGAGACTTTTTATAAACAAGTTTTTAAGCAATCATGAATGAAGCTGCATCTCTGTTTTATTTTATATTTATTAAGGTTTGGAGGTTTGGTTTGATTGGGCTACCTTCTCTGCTGCCGATATCCTGCTATGTCCAAGAGAGTTTTCCTTGGAAAGGAACGAAACAACTTCTGCACCTGTTGTTTCCAGGACAAGAGTCTCTTTTTCAGTGTCTCTGAAAAAGCCTGGAAAATAAATGTCAGCCAAAAGGTGAGAGATATCTGAGGCTTTCCATTCAAGATTTTATAAAGAGTAAAGCCATTCCATTGCATTTTTCCCCAAGATAGTCAAATCTGACTGAAAAGCTCTAAAATAAATACTACCTAACCAGCCTGTCATTGTTATCACTGTCAACCTTGGGATTGCACAGGGTGGAAATGTGGTTCAGCTTAAAGCTAAAAAGAATGGCAGTGTTTTAACATAAATAACTCACACATCACGGCTAATTAATTACAATTACCTGAATTTTTTTTTTCTGTATTTCCATCATAAACCTCAATGGACATTATTTTTGCATGTTCACTGGGGAAATTAGTTATTTGTAGCAATGAATGAGGGTTCAGATGCTGTTTTTCCACAGAAGGGAAGAGAGTTGATTAAGCTATTTCATATTCTTATATTTATGAAGAAATTGAAATTGTTTCCAACAATATTAGTCAATTTAAAATAGATTTCCATAAGGAAGGAGGAATTTAAGTTATACATTAACTTGCATTTGAATTTGTATGGCTGGCAGCACTGCCCATTCTCCTGCATCTGTTACACTAAGTGATACATCTACTAACGTCTTACTATGTCTGCTTTCAAGTAACTCTTGATATGTCAATATTATTTACTATGGCCCTCGGGTATAAATGCGATCAGACGTGACTCAAAAGGCATAACTCAACATAAGACTGCACATTAACACAGGGTTGCGGAGTGATTTTCTTCTGCTGGAGGTTTACTGGAAGCATCACATTCAGCCATGAAGAGCCACATCATTTATACATGGTGTGGAGGTCAAAATGAGGGCTATGAACAGGTTACACAGGGCCAAAAATCATGCACTACACAGACATTAACAGATTCCTATTAACTGAATAGGAAAAAATAGCTCAGTTTTTCTTAACAGTAAATGATGAAAAGTACAATACAGTAACAGGGTCATGCTTACCTCATGGGTCAAACACTTGTCAATTAGTTGGAGATAGGAACTGATGTTCTCTTCATCTGGTCTGGAGACAAGTAGCTGTGTGCAAACTTGGGAATAAGAGAAGCATGACAAGTTTACTTTTGTTTTCACTATGATCATGAAATTAATGTGTCATAACACACAGGGAATCGAGTCCTGCCACATATGGGGATACACAGCCGTAGGTATCTTATATCTATTATCTATGTATCTCATTTCCTATGAGATTCACCGTGGTATACAAAATTAGAGTTAAATAATTTCTTTCATAGGTGACGCTTCAAATGTTGCATTCTTTCATTCTCAATAATATGACATTTTTATAACAATAATCTGGTATATCCTGTGCATATTAACATGTTTATATGTAATTTATATAAATTATATAAACATATAAATATATAAACGGTGCATATAAGTTAGCTTGAATTTAATTCCATTTTAATTCTACATCCTGGTTTTAACCACAATTCAAATTCAATTCAAATTCATGAACTGAATTGGACTTTCAAGGCCATTCTCAATTCAGTTCTGTATAGTGTACAATCCTGCTACACATTGCATTTAGCATGTTTTTTTAAGAATAATTTCACTCCAGGTTTGCTTAGCATACATGTAAATCTGAGTTTTAATCATACTTTTCCATTTACTTGTTGACACGAGATCCATTATTCTACTTAAAGACACATTCCGACCTACATACCCCTATATCCACAAGAGCATGGTTCGAGTTACGGGGGGTACTGTACCCCCCGATCAAGACCCAGACCCCCCCCCCCCCCAAAGAGACAAAAATAGCAGTTTAGGGGGGTCTTAAAAATTTTCTTTTGTCGTAAAAAAAAAAGATAACCTAACCTTGTAGGAAGATTTTATGTAAAACGATTTCATGTGGACCGTACCATTTTAACCACCTCGGCGCTAAAAGCAGCCAGTCGGTTGCGTCATTCATTCTCATTGAGTGACCTGTTCATTGTGTTTGTCTGTCATGGTACTGTTTGTCGTGCGTTCGTAAATGTAAGTAGCCAGCAGTAGTCTAGCCTGTTGAAAATGTGTTATTTTACAACCTTCATTTATTTGTTTAAGTGTTTCATCTACTAATGCATATGGAGGGAAATCCCGGACATTTTTCAAAAGGAATTGCAAATTGCATTTGCAATTGCGTTTTCCATATGTGGACGCATAAAGTGTGACATAATTGAAATGCAATTGCAAATTTTGCATTACCGTTTGCTTTTTCGCTTTCGCGAACGAACACTGCCACATTTCAAATGAAAAAGCAAAGTCTATTTGCAATTGCATTTCCCATGTCTTACAAGGGTCAGGGGTGGGTCTATACTGTGGGGCGTGATTGTATGGGGAGTGACGTCACTCGCAGTC